CAGATTTTTATGTTGTCACTTATGTGGGAGATAAAGATAGCAGAACTGTTATCAGGTTTTCTCTTTTCTGCATCTTTTTTGTTGATGTAAAACTTTGTATTTTTAAAAAAATGTCTATGTTTTTTGTAGGGAGCATGAGTTTTCGTTTGTCGAGGGAGCTGTGAAAGGTGGGCCAAAAGCAACTAGGATGCGAACTGACCAAGGAATTAAATTCCATGTTTTGCTAACGTCATATGAATTAATTAATATTGATAAGGTAAAAGATTAATTTCTATGATTTCTTTTAGTATCTCCTGGCAAGATCCTTCAACCTGCTTTTTTGTTTCAGACAATTTTGTCATCAATTGAATGGGCTGGTTTGGTTGTTGACGAGGCTCATAGGCTTAAAAACAATCAGTCGTTGTTTTTCCGTACATTACGTGATTTTAAAATAGGTTATCGATTGCTGTTAACTGGAACACCGTTGCAAAATAATTTGGAGGAGCTTTTCCATCTACTTAACTTCTTGTCTCCTGACAGATTTTAGTTAGTTTTATGCCACATAGTTTTTCTTTCCTTCGTCTCTACTGGGCGTTGCCGGATACCCCTACAGTACAACGTTTTCAGTGATTTGGAATCGTTTACCCGTGAATTTGCTGAGATTTCAAAAGAAGATCAGATTCAAAAATTACACTCCTTACTTGGGCCTCACATGTTACGCAGGCTGAAAGCTGATGTTCTGTCAGGCATGCCGTCTAAGAGTGAACTTATTGTTCGTGTTGAACTCTCGCCCATGCAAAAGTCAGTTCTGTCTGTAACCGAAGAGTCTTTTTTGAAATATTTCGTTTCTTGGTGTGTTGACTTGTAGTAACTAGTCAGTTTCTTAGTATGACTGAATTTTTTCGTTATGTTCCGGTTTAAAAGTTCAATTCGGCTTTAAAATATATTCTTATTCAGGCGATACTACAAAAACATTTTGACGCGTAATTTTGAAGCGTTGAATCCAAAGGGTGGTGGAACTCAGGTTTCGCTTTTGAACATTATTATGGATCTAAAAAAATGCTGTAACCACCCATACTTGTTTCCAAAAGCTAGCATAGAAGCTCCGAAATTGAAGAACGGTATGTATGAGGGAGCTGCGCTTGTGAAAGCATCGGGAAAATTTGTTCTACTACAAAAAATGTTAAGGAAGCTTAAGCAACAAAGTAATTTTTTATTTTTTTGTGTGTTTTTTCTGCTTTGCACTTTCTCAGGATCTGTCATATAACTTTTTTTCAGATCATCGTGTGTTAATCTTTTCCCAGATGACAAAAATGTTGGACGTTTTGGAGGATTTCTGTGAGAATGAAGGTTACAAGTATGAACGGATTGACGGGTCTATTACTGGTCAGGCTAGACAAGATGCTATCGATCGTTTCAATGGTAAGATCATCAGTATCGTCTTATATTTCTTTTCTACTTTATAATTTTCAGCACCAAATGCTCAGCAATTTATTTTCCTGTTGTCAACTCGAGCCGGGGGTTTGGGTATCAATTTAGCTACGGCTGATACAGTTATTATTTATGATTCTGATTGGAACCCTCATAACGATATTCAGGTCTGTGCTTTTTTGCTTTGGCGTACTTAGATCTTTTTTTTCTTTCCTATATGATAATTTTTTTAGGCCTTCAGTAGAGCTCATCGTATTGGACAACAAAATAAAGTGTTGATATATCGCTTTGTGACTCGAGGTTCAGTTGAAGAGCGAA